AAAAGTTTATGTGTATGAGTGTATTGCCTGCATGTATGTGAGTGCACCTGTGTTGTGCAATGCTGTGGAGGTCCGAAGATGGCTCCAGATTCACCTGGAAATGGAGGTTAGGACGGTTCGCAGCTGCCATGTGGGTGCTGGGACTCAAACTTTGGTCCTCTGCAAGAGCAGTCAGTGTTCTTAACCACTGAGCCATCTTTCCAGCCCCAAGATTGGCATTTTCTAAAGAAGATGGCAGAAGTTAGAGAAAGAAAGAAAAGCCATTCAATTTCTAATGACTCCTGAATGCCATCTCGGCCCACAGGTGCCATGGAACACTGGTCGCCGGAGTACCCTCCCAGCACTTACTTTGTTTTTTGTTTTTTGCCTAGGGCTGTCAGTCAAGGTTCCTGAACACAGTGGTGGGATTATGACCAGTCTAGAGGGTAGCCAGGGAAGTAGCAGTGGGGATTTAAATGTGGCCACACCCTGGGAGAGCCCTCAGAAGGCAAAGGCAGTAAAGATGCTTTTAAGGCACATAAAGAAGTTCAAGGGCATGAAAAAAAAGCCATTATTAGTAGATCATAGAATATGCTTCCATTTTGTATTAGTCAGGGGTCTCTAAAGATAGATTAGATTAGCTCACAGGCTAGCGTCTGAGTAGTCCAACAATGGCTGCACCACCTTGGAGAGGTTCAGAATCCGGTAGGTGCTCAGTCCACGAGGCCGGACGTCTCAGCGGTCCCAACCTGCTGCTGAAGGACGGACGGAGTCTGGGAGATCTGCTGGTCTTCAGTCAACATTGGAATCTGAAGAAGTTGGTCACAGTGAGACGAACTCATGGTGGGAGAGAAGGCGAAGGGCAAAAAGCCAGAGTTCCTTCCGTTATGGCTGCCATCGGAAGGCCACACCCACATTTAGGGTGGGTCTTCCAGCTTCAAATGATCTAATCAAGAGGTCTCTCATTTCAGTTCTAGTCAAGTTGACACCCAGGACTAGCCATCACACATTTAAAAAATACATAATTTTAAAAGATGAGACTATTTTTATTATTTTTATTTTTTATGTGTGAGTGTATTGCCTGCATGCATGTTAGCGCACCATGTCGTGCAGTGCCCCTGGAGTTAAAAGAAAGCTTTGGATTCCCCTGGAATTGAGTTACAGATGATTGTTAGCTGCCGTGTGGGTGCTGGGAATCAAACCTGCGTCCTCTAAGAGCAGTCAGTGCTCTTAACAGCTGAGCCATCTCTCCAGCGCCCCCCACCCCCCGCAAAATGGATAATTATAACTATCTTTTATCATTGAAATATGTTCCTTGTTAAAAAAATATATATATAAACACCACAGAAACACACAGAACCACCACACAGGAAGTGAAACTCCCATTCTCCCCCATGACCAAAACCTCAATGACCATCATCAGAGAGGACCACAGATAAATGCCTGAAATGTTAGTCTGCAGGGGAAGGAGGACGGATGGCTGGCTGGGTAGGGGGATGGGTGAATGAGTGGGTGACTGGATGGTTGGGTGGGTGGTCAGTGGGATTGTATTATATGCACCTGCTTTATTTTTTCCGTCTTTTTGAGACAGGGTCTCCCTGTAGTCCCAGCTGACCTGGCGCTCGCTATGTAGATCAGGCTGGCCTTGAACTCACTCATGGAGATACACCTGCCTCTGCCTCCCCAGTGCTGAGTGCTGGGACTAAAGGCATGCACCACCACACCCAGCATAAAATACCTTCGTGGGGCTGGAGATAGCTTAGTGGTTAAGAACACTGGCTGTTTTTTTTTTTAAATATTTTATTTTATGTGTATGAGTGTATTGCCTGCATGTATGTGAGTGCACCCGTGTTGTGCAATGCCGAGGAGATCAGAAGAGGGCTTCGGATACCCCTGGAACTGGAGTTAAGGACGGTTCATAGCTGCCATGTGGGTGCTGGGAACCGAACCCAGGTCCTCTGCAAGAGCCATCCATACTGATCCATCTTTCCAGCCCCCACTGGCTCTTCTTATAGAAGACTGGGTTTGAATCCCAGCACCCATAGGGCAGCTAACAATCATCTGTAACTCCAGTGGCTGCACTAACATACATGCAAGCAAAACACTTGCACATGTTAAATACCCTCATTCTGAGCCCGTCAGTTCTGTTCCTTTAGAGAACCGAATACTGAAGGGCTGGGGAGATGCCTCTGGTACTTTTTCCTTAAGTCAGAGGACCTGAGTTTGATTAGTAGAACCCATCTTAGGAAAAGGCAGGTGCAATGGCCTGCACTTATAGTCCCAGCACTGGGGAGGCGGAGACAGGGGGCTCCCTTGGGCTCGTTGGACAGCTAGCCTAGCCTGCTTGAGCTCCAGATTGGGAAGATGAACACAGTATGTTTTCAAGCCCTTGGTCGTTCCGTTTTGGTTAAAATCAAATATCTTCACGGTCAACCCATGTTCCTCACCCTTAAGGACACCATGGTCCATTAGCCATGGCCAGACTTGGTGGTACTAGACCTAGCTGGGCTTTCTTTTAAGCATTTGAGGGTCGCTACTTGGTTTCTGCTATTCTGCAGTCTTATCATGGGGGATAGAAGTCCAATCCTTGCTGACCTCTTGCTGGCAATCCTGGCCCAAAGCACTGCCACCAGTGTATCTCTTGCCTCCAGTGTGCTGCCCTGGCTTTTGGCAAAGGTCACATGCCCATTCTGATATGCATCTCTCTCATGATAAGGAGCCTTTGGGTCTCTACCTCAGCATTGTGATGAGGCTGCTATCGGGTCAGAGCTTTGGTGGGACTGGTCACAGGGAGTGCTTCCCTATCAAGAATACTACCTCACACGGCATTATGCTTTCCTCCTTCCTGCCCCATTTCCAGGTCCTGCTGGCCCTGAAGATCTTTTGGAACCTGTCTGGTCTGTTCCCCATCTCCCTCCTTAGAGCCAGGACTAAAGGGTTGTTTTTTTGGTTTTGCTTTTAGTTTTTTTTCAGTGTTGGGGATTAAACCCAAGGCCTTGCGCATGGTTAGGCACAAGCGCTACCAATGAGCTACGCTCTAGTAGTCCCTGTAACTGAAACTGAACGGAGCTACGAGCCTGGGGAGAGGAAACGGAGAGAGCCTCCTCTGAGGTGGCATCCAGGGGTCAGCTGTCCTTGAGTGGGAGGAAGACATGTCTGCTAGCATGTGGGCTGGGTGTTCCCAAGAGCACCCACGTGGTTCTCAGCACCCTTATTAGGGAAGCTATGCACTGACTGCAGCTCCCTGGATACACATGTGCTCTGCAGGACCTGCTGCTGAGTGGCCACCTGAGGAAATCAGCCAAACCCCCTGTCCTGTTCCCTGACAGAGTGAGGCTCACTGCTGTGACACCCAGGAATGTTGGGCACACCGGGCATCTGAACAGACCAGCAGTCCAGGCACACAAGCTGAGAGAGAGAACACGGAGCTCAGAGGGGCTGCTGCTGAGGACTGAGTCAGGCTCCTCCCTAGGCCTGTCAGTCCTCTAAGCCAGAGAGGCTAGAGGTGGGTGGAGCCATAACCCAGATGTTGCCTCCCATCACAATGCTGGCAGGTCCTCCAGGTCTGTCACCAACAGAGCCACCTTCCTCACCAAGCCCTATAAATAGTGCTTGGTTAAACTTGGTTAAAACTGCATTAAGAATCTGAGGTCTGGGGTTGGCAAGATGGCTCAGTAGGTAAAGTGCTTGCCATGTAAGCCTGACAATCTGAATTCAACCCTCACAACTCCCATAATGGTGGAAGGAAAGAACACACTCCACCAAGTTGTCCTCTGACCTCTACCACACAAACACATAATAATTAAAAAAAGAATCTGGGGTCTGGGACACAGGCTGTAGCACAGTGGCAGAGAGCTGGCCTGGCACATGTGAGGCTCTGGGTTAATACCTGGCACCACAATTGAGAAACAAATTGGTGTTTTAGGATATCACTTGGTGAATCTGTATTAATTCCCTTTACATTTCTGATTTTTTTTCTTTTTTTTTTTTTGGAATAAAACTACCAAAGTGCTGAACGGACACCACGGTGGCTGCCGGTGCTGGTCCCTGACTTCTCCCTGTCCCTCTCCTCCACCAGGGCCTGGGTGGTACCCTGACAGAGGTGACTGGCCTTAGAGATATGCCAGCTTTGCAGCAGACCACATGAACCCCATAAAATAGACACACAATATACAAATAATTATTTATTTTGAATAAAAAAGTGTCCGACGTAACAGTGCTAGTGGCTCTGTGTACAAAACTCAGTATGAGGCTGTTACAGAACTGCCACTGTGTTCAGCACACACACCACAGCAGCATCAGATGTAAGCACCAGGCTCCTAAGGGCAACTGAGGGGGAGGGACCCAAAGGAGAGCAAGATAAGAGCTGGTGGCCTTTCGTTTATTGGATAGACGGCCAACAAGCCAACTGGGAAACAGGATATTACCCCAGGTTGATGGTTGGGCTGGACACAGATGATCCCTCCCTCAGTTTCCACTCCCTTCCCCTTGTAATTCCCCCGTCAGATTTTCCCAGAAACCACAGCTTCAATGTTTGATGAGCTCAGGACCCACACGCATCTTCAGAAACAGGCTAAACAGTGCTAAGGATGTGACATCTTGTTACTCTCAAAAACCCCATTCCAGCCAGCGAAGTAGCCTGCCCTCTTCCAACATTACTGGCAGTAGGGTGCTGAGCAGCTGGACATGCAGAGGAGGCAGGAAGCCCCTTCACCCACTCTCCACGCACAGGCACCTACTCTGTGAAAGGTACTTCCCCTTAGATGCTTAGGGAGGAAACAGGGAGACAAACCCCGCCCTGGAGGAGCGCACAGTTTAATACTGAGCACCAGGTACAGTGCCAGGGACAGAGCAGGTGGCTGGCTTTTTTGGGTTGGCTAAAATTTATTCCCAGCAAAATGTGCTATTATAAACTCCTTAGAATTATAAAAATTCCTTAGCGTTTTTAATTGAAACTCTGAAAGTCTAAAACATGCCTAGCTTGATCGGATGGTTAAGAATTAAAAAACAGCCCCTTTCAATAACTGTAAATTTTTCTCTTTATTTCAAAAAAAGTCAGGTGTAAACATACATACAATTCAAGCCAAGCACAAACTGTAGCAGGGGCATTGGGTAAACAGAAAGCATAAGCACTTTGCACAACACAGACACTGCATAAACAAGTGTGATGCTGATGCTCAAGTTCATGTCGTGTCAAAGTGCAAATCTGAAACAAAGCCTTGAAGAAGACATCATTCATAGACACTTGCATCTGACGTTACATTAGTACCATACAGAGAGACAGCGGACTTGAGTGTGTGCACTGCACCTGAAGGTTGGCCAAATGCAGACCCGGTCTGACACGGAAAACTGTCACTACCTCTCACGCTGCCCGATGACCATATTTGTTTTTCTGAGACAGGTTGGCCTTCAAATTGATTCTCCTGCCCCAGCCTCCCAAGTGCTCAGTATAGTATGCCTGTGCCTGGCACAATCTAGTTTAGAGTATTTTCTTTATGAAAAATAACAGAATTTCATGAAAGTGAGGTAAAGGGTAAATAACTTTTTTTCAGTGGCAAGTTTGGAACTCGGGACCTCATGAATGCTAGGCAAACACTCTACCCACTGAGCTACACCCTCAGCCCTGAGGTAAAGTAACTTCTAATCTTTTCTAATTTTTTTTTGGGGGGGGCTCTTTTTTGGAGACAGGGTCTCCCTGTACCCACAGCTGGCCTGGAACTCACTACATAGACCAGGCTGGCCTCGATCTAACAGATTGACCTGCCTCTGCTGGGATTAAAGGCGTGTGTCACCATGCCTGGCTACAACTTCTAATCTTCAACAAGAGATGCAGAACTCAGACCTGCTTCACTTCGCCCAGCCCAGCCCTTCAGCTGGAGCCTACAGTGCTGTCCCAGTGAGCATCACCTCTGCATCTTGCTCTAAACTCACTGTGACTAGGATCCTGCTTGTAGGCAGGGTCTCTCCCCCAGAATACAGACATGGCCTCGAAAGACACGTTAATACTGGCCTCTGCCTGTGCTTCAGTTACAGGAAGGAACCTGCTGCTTAGGGGACAGTGCTGCTGTAGGCTGTAGACAGCAGCGACGCTACCTTCTTTGAGTTTGGCTTAGTCCCATTTAAGGACATAATTCACTTGCTGGGCTGTCAAAGTCTTGCCGAGACCCTGCAAGTCCAGAGTGTGCTAACCGGGAAGAGGTGGTGAATCTGTCTGGCTGCTGGCTGTTCATGCTGACTTGGAATGCACCCCACTCAGCTAAGCTCAGTGTGACTAATACTGGCTGGGGTGCTGGGGTGGTGGCTGTGAGCCTCAGGTCTAACCTGAAGTGATTCAGCTACCAGACCACAAAATTATCATTTAAAGTTTTGATGAAAACCAGAGAGAGCCTAGTGAGTTGCTAATAACACCATTACCTCCAGAAAGCAGTCACCGTGAAGTTCCTTCTAGGAAGGGAGGCCCACAATACAGTGAGATGTTTATCTCATCCGTTTTCCATAGCTCTGAATGTACCCTAACGCCAAGAAACTTAATGGAAATCAGGGGAGCCTCTTTGGGACAGCAAAGCAACAGTGAGGTGAGCAGAAGGCTGAGAGGACAAGAAAGACTCCTGGTCACGCAGGCAGCCGGGCTCCCCACCAGCTCTGCACATCCCTAACAAGCACTGATCTGCACCTTAATCTGATGCCACATAACCACAACAAATGACTTTACTATTCCCAGCCTAGGTAACCTAGGTTTGCTAACAGATCCTGCCTTCATGCTTCGACATAAATGTTCTCAAAGTCCTCCTAGAGAAGCAGAAGAACGTCACACTCAACTTTGAGCTTTGCTGATCTTCTAATGATTTCTGACACTGGAAACAACTGCTAGTGTTGGCAGCTCTAACAGTAGGTTGAGGCTGTCTGGAGTCTGGGAGGGACACATGAGGACTCTGGCTGAATACCAACAAGTTATCAGTTTCCTACTTAGAGTAAGAGGAACAAGTAGCCCCAGCAGAGAAACTTGAGACAGACCAGTAACACAGCTCACAAGGTCTCCGTGCAGTTGCTCCAGCACTAATGCAGAGCAGCAAGCCTACCATCCTTCCCATTCCTGAAAATTATCATGGCTACCACTGAAATCAACCTGAACCCCGACAAACAGATCAGGTAAATTTGAGGCAAGTCTGGAGGGTTATGTGTGCTAAGTTTAAGCTGGAAGAGGTAACTGGAAGATTCCAAGACACCCTCTGCGGCCCTCCTGTACACTGACCCTTTGAGAAGCGCTCAGAAGCGCACTATGCACGAAGCCAACTTCATCCCCAACTCTGTTCGCCAGCTCTGAGGCCTGCTGTGTGTCTGGCTGTGGGGACATGTAGCTGAGGCTGGATTTCAGAGTCCACTGATGCCACTGGGCAGAGCCCCTTGTAGGAACCATGTTCCTGTCACCATGTTACTCCTATAGACAAGTTACAGAATAACGTCAGAAATCCTTCTGTTACTCCTAATTGTCAGTTTCTCAGAACTGCACAATTGTTTCAAATAAGCAGTTAAGTTTTTAAATGGTAATAACACAAAATTCCCTGTAAGAACGCCTAAGGAGTTGATTCAGAACAGAGAAAGAACTGAAACAGCATGCATGATTATCACAACTGGAACAATTCCTTACGTCACCTCAGTTTTTCCTGCCACGTTTACTATGCCGAGAACAGCTACAGGCTTCAGCTATGCAGTGTCAGAACAGGGCCACTCAGGACCCCAGTGGGCCTGGTTCTTTCCTGAAGGTCAGTTTAACTTGCTGCCCCAAGCCTGGATAAACACTTCCTGAAATTACCCCCAAAATGAGAACATAAGACTCCAGCAAACACATTAGCAAGCCGAAGCTAAGTCCCACTCTTAACAGGACATCTCAGGCAGTGTCTGGCAGTGCCTCTTGGGGTCTATTCCAAGTGCATGGCAATGCCAGGGTGCATAGTAAGACAGTGTGGCCTTGGCAAGTCTGTCTCTCGTGGTACCCAAGTACCAAGACATTATTTCTGAAGTGAGGACAGTTGTTTCTCACTGAGGCTACAAAAAACAAAGCAAGAAAGTATGTTAAACTAAAAGCCAAAAAGATGATGAAATAATTAAAGAATTTCATATTCTGTATTTTCCACCCCATGTTCCAAAAATACACCATTCCAAAATGTGTGCACTACAGTTAATTAGCACCAATCCCTAGGAAACTTTCTTTAAAAATCTAAAACAGCCAGCTGTGGTGGTGCACACACAGTCCCAGCACTGGGGAGGCAGAGGCAGGAGGATCTCTGTGAGATCGAGGCCAGCCTAGTCTACAGAGGAGTTCCCCAGCTGGGGCTACAGGAGACCCTGTCTCAAAAACTCTAAGATTGTAATTCCAGAATGTCTATTATAGGTTTTGATTAAGAGCTACCAGTCAGAACTGTTTCTGTCTTCTTTTTATAGCCTGCAGAAAAACAGCTGTATTCCAAATATTAAGAGTCTTTGGAGAAAGGAAGAATTCCCAGGCTGCCCTGCCCACCTGAGGGCACACACTTGCAGCGCCAGGTCTTAAAGGCCTCCAACTCCACGCTGCCCTTCTCTTTCCAGGAGTCCTAGACAGATTCTTCTCCCAGATGCTTGGGGAAACATCTGGAAATATCAATGTTAAAAATACTGAATTGATTTAATACTAAAAGAAGATCTCCCCCTCTAACAAACATCTAGATTAGCACTGGTGAGTGACGTGGGCGATGACGAGGGAAGTGGAACACTCCATCTCTTTATACACATTAAGGAGCTGGCTCAGGAGATCTGATGACACAGGAAGAGAAAAATAAATCACAATTACTAACTTCTAATAGTCACCTGATCATTTGATACATTAAGAACAATTTTAGACTTGGCTTAAAAAATATAGTTTTAAGAAAATGGTTTCCATATGCAGGACAAGTGGATGGGACACAGATCTGCAGCCGTCTGAGAGCAGAAACCAGCATGTGCTGCTTTACACACTTTAATATCAGCTGGCACACAGTGTCAGTACCAGCCAACTTCAGCCCTTGGGAGCCACAGGCCATCCCAGACCAGGACAAGGATGAAAACCTAACTCACCCAGCAAGGTCCTTATATGCGTTCTTTAGAAGAGACCAGCATGTTTCTAGAAACAGTATATATGACACTCTTTCTGTTCAAACTGCTTCAGTCAAGACACTTGAAAAATAAGTGTTCCTTGTTGGGCAAGGAGCTGAGGGTGGCTAATGTTCACCTCAAAATGACTCAAACTTTCCATATCTGGTCATTTAAAAAATATCCTTTAGACCTGGAGATGGTGTGTGTACTTGGGAGAGCTCCCAGGGAGGCCCTCCCGATTTCCAGTGAGAAGAGTGCCTCTCCATTGCTCAGGGCCAGGCTCTCCCTAGCGCAGCTGCTCCTCAGGCTCCAGGGAACTTTCTACAGCTGAGTTCATGTCCTTCCGTCCCCCACCGCTGACACTCAGAAGACAGGAGAGTCACAGAAAGGGCAGGGGCTCTGCAGTAACCTCTTAATCCAGTCGGGATCTGCAAACAGAAAACAAGCAGGACCAAACGTTAGCCTCAGAAAGGGCCACCAGGACAGGACGTGCTATGCCGCGTGCAGCGTGCGGGCACGGCACTGGGAGCCCTAGCTATGTGTCCATTCACAAGGCACTCCACTCTTTAAGGCTTCAGTTTCCAAAATTCTAAATGACGCAGTACTATTTAAATCTACGGTTCTCAAAGCTACATTTGTAATGAAATTGGAAAATGAGGGTAATGAGTGGATGTTTCATGAAGCTACACACATTCAGGTTAACAGAGGGCTGCACTTCTGACTGTGTTCTTTACACCTTAGTTTTGGTTTGGTTTGTTTTGCTTGAGATAGGTTCTCACTATGTAGTCCAGTTGTCACTATGTAGCTCAGGCTGGCCTTGACCTCTTGACCCTCCTGCTCTGGAGTACCCAGTGCTGGAATAACAGATATGTGGCATGATTCCCAGTTGTTACTGTTAAGATATTCTTTCAAAGGATGACAGTGATGGCAACTTTTCAGAAATGTCATGACCTAGAGGAATAGACATGCAGCAAAAAGGGCCTCCCTCACCCCCGGCCTGGGAAATCTCTGCCCCAATTCAGTTCTGTCTCTGGACCCAGCAGCTCCTCACTGTTCCCACAAGTGGCTCATCTTAGAGCCGAGGAGTGGGGGTTGGGGTTTTAAATTCCAGTCTTCTCTAGGTTTCTTGCCTAAACAGCCTACCAATTTTCAATTGCGGTATCAGTTTAAGTGTTCCCCAAATATGCTTCAAAGTAGGTCAACAGAACCAGGGTGTGACAGAAAGGTTTTCGGCCTAGGTTCTGCATGTACCTCCACAACAGAAGTGAAACCGGAACCCAAGCTGCCAACATACAACCTTGACTGCACTGGAGAGCTTCAGCCAGTTGGAGCAAATGTCAGTAAGGACCGAGTTTTAAGTGGAAGGCTTTGCTTTCTGTTCACCAAGGGAGACCACGCATTTTGCCCAAACATGTATGACTGATTCTACACACTTGTGTCTCCCTGGCTTATTTGGTCTGAGTGTGAGGTCAGTGAGGCTTAGATCAAAAGCTGCCATTCTCAAGGCCATCAGACACCAAGCTCCTGCGTGCACCTGTGCTCTCGTCCCAGCTGGCTCTCAGAAGTAGAAATGTGCGCTTTGCCACAAGATGACCAAGGAGCACGGAGACCCACCAGGAAACCCAGCGGGACTTCTCGTACTCCAGTGCAGCGCCTGTTACGGAGCAGTGCTGTTTCCGCACCCAGCATCACCTGCAGAGGTGGCATCCAAACAGCAGGCCTGACACGGCCCGGAAGAACCTGTCTGCTGCAGGAACGGCAAGAGTAGAGCCACTTCATCACCCGCTGAACAGCAGCATCACTCCAACATGATGCATTCCTGTGACCACTTGTTAATGAGCTCTGGCTTCATAGAAGCTGTAGAGAACAGGCTACTCTGTCCCCACAGAGGACACTAGGTGGTGTGGAGCCTGACCCCAGCCCTGGCATGCTGCTGTACCCTCTCCCAGGCTAGAACAGCACCCACCTTCTGGAGCCGGATGCCGGGCAATGCTGTCATGGAGCAAACACCTTCGGTATATCAAGCTCTGGCAGGACTGGTAGGTTAAAAAGCACCTACAGAAGACAGTGCAGTCAGGGGAGAAGGCTCTCTTGAGATCCATCGACACCGGGAAGGCAGGCGTCCAGGGTAAACCCCAAAGTTGCCATGGCAACACTTCCCTCCGTGTGGCAAAACCTCCATCACCACACTGAGTGACAACCATGCAGGTCATGAAGGGAAGGGACACAAAGCTTTTAGGTCAGAAAGTTCCGGTAGCGTTTCCACACTGCGGTACTGAGAAAGAATTTAGTTTGCTCCTCTCTGCTCCTATAAACTGTCAATGTTTTTTAAAGGCTCACCTATCATATGGGAAACATCGCTCTTTCTTGTTACTTTTAAGATAAGGTACAAGGACAGTCTTAAAAACCTTCAGGTATTGGGGCTAGAGAGGTGGCTCTGAGGGAAAGAGTGCTTGTTTAAGTTGGGCCTAAGTTCAGGTTCTAGCACCTCAACAATGCCCGCCTCCCAGTGGGGTAGAGACCAGAGAATCACAGGCTTTCTGGCTGCCAGTTAGCAGAAAAAGACAAGCACCAGGCTCAGGGAGAAACCTTGCCTCAAAGGGATAAGGAGGGGAGTGACAGAGGACACTTGATGCTCTTCTCTGGCAACACACAGAAGTGTACAGACACCATGTGCACACATACCACGTGCACACAGAACTTTCAGGTGGCAAACATGAGATCTGTGGTACAAAAAGAAAGGAAACTAACAAACATATCCACAGATTTAGTTCAATTCTGCTGCCCATGAGTACTCACTGAGCACCCACCCAAAGCAGGCCGACAGGACGGGCAGGTACGAGATGGCAAAGAGTGTAACAGCTCTGGAGGAAGATTTCCCCAAAGGTAGTCTTCAGGTGAGCAAAAAGGAATAGAAAACAGCAGAGGTTGGGGAGGGGACTCCAATGAGCATAGGAAGAACGATCCCAGCTGAGACGGCGACATCTCTCACACAGAAATGATGCCCCAGTATTTCGACACTGACCTTAATCAGAAAAACGGAAGGCAGCTTTTGTGAAAGAGCTCACTACTGTGGAAGGCATTAATACATCACAATCCCACACAAACTCTAAGCAGAACGCCAGGCTTCACACGCTACCACTAATCACTGACATAGGGAAAATTCTTTTACTCCCCAGATGCCAGTGTCCTCATCTGTAAAATGGAAATCACCAAGGGGCTGCCCTGTGTACGTCCACCATGAAGATGTCCACCTTGAGGATGTGCTGACTAAACAGATAAGCGTGCTGCCCCAACTTGCCCATCACACTGACAGGCTCAGCTGGATGCTATTTGCATTTCAAATTTTGATTCAAGAAAGTCTAAGCTGGGCTTGGTGGCGCATGCCTTTGATCCCAGCATTCCGAGGCAGAGGCAGGCAGATCTCTTTGAGTTCAAGGCCAGCCTGGTCTACATAGCGAGTTCCAAGACAGTTGGGGCTACAGGGAGACCTTGTCTCAAAAAGACAAGAAAACACAAAGAAAGTCTAAACAAATTAGAAAAGAAATTTGTTAAAAAGGGAATAAATCAGAGTATGCACATGATTGACAGCTCTATCCCATCAAGAATGGGATTCTGGCTGGGCACAGTGGCAAATGCCTGTAATCTCAGCACTTGGGAGGTTGAGACTGGAGGAACATAAATTTGAGGTCAGCCTCTGCTACATAATGACACCCATCCACAACACACACACACACACACACACACACACACACACACACACACACACACACAAAACCACCACCAGAAAGGGGGAAAAGGGGGGGGATGATGATAAGTGTAGTGTGTAGTACAGCTCTATTTCAGTGAAAAATAAATTTAACATTTTTACTGAACGTCTACCAGGCACTGTTTTAGAAACAGCTGTGAACAAAACATAAAAGTCCTTGTGCTCAGGGTTTATTATTCCAAAGGAAGGTGAACTAGGTAAAAAGAGCTGGGTATGCTGGCGCATACCTTTACTCCCAGCACGCAGAGGCAGCAGATCTCTGTGAGTTGGATGCCAGCCTGGTCTACATAGTGAGTTCCAAGCTACCTGGGGCTTTAAAAAAAGATCCTATCTAGTGGTGATTAGAAGGCAAAAAACAGAACAAGAATGAGGCTCAGGAGCACAGAGCACTCCTTGGGGGAGGAGGATGTCAGACTTTAAGTGCAGTGGCCAGGAAGGCCTGACTGAGGAAGCACGTCCTGAGGAGGCTGTGCAGAGATGTCCTCAAGTGGCAGGCTGTCTCACTGACCTAAGCAAGGTGGCCAGTTCTCTTGGATGGAGACACCTGGGAGCTGAGCTCAGAGAGAAGGTGAGGGGAGCCAAGGGCCCAGGCTCTGGAGAGGCTGCAGGTTGCCAAAGGGTTCTCGCTTTATATGCATCAGAAACAGACAGGCGCTGGGAGCCTTTGTTTTTGCAGTGCTGGGGCTGGAAACCAGGGCCTTGCAGATGCTAGGCAGGTGCTCCACCATAGACCCACACCCTCAGCTTTAATGGAGAGCTTGGAGCAGAGGGGCGACAAGAACTGGTGAGGTCTGCTGAGCATCACAGCCACAAGTGTACAGAGAACAGACCAGAGAGGAGGTTGGAAGCAGCTGGCCCAGGTGGAAGGTGACAGTGCCAGGGCCATGGAGCGCCACATTCCACAGGAAGTACTGAGGCCAGACACAACAAAGATGCTTGGTAGGCAGGAAGTCAGACACACAGGTTGGACTAAGGAGGAGACACAGGCTTATCTGTGCACAGCCAACAGAGCCCTCCAGGAAGGGTGAAAGACAGAGAGAGGGCAGCCTAAGGATGGATGGACAGATGGATGCTGAAGAGATGAGGTGTCCTGGGAGGCGGGTGATGAAGTGCCTCAGGGAGGGGACAACAGATTCAAATACAGCTTTCAGGTCCAGTCAAATGAGGGTCCACCAAAGTTACCTCTTACAGGTGACTAAGGGGAAAGGAAGAAGAAGGATTCTGCCTGGCTATCTGATAGCTTCATGCAGGAATATAATGTACTGATGAATATAATGATCCCCACCTTTTATCTCCCATCCCTGTCAGGCCCCACCCGATGAAATGTAACCAAAAAAGGTCCATGAGTACGCAAGCCCACCCACTTCAGCACTATTTGTAATATCTTAAAAAATGGAGCCCTTGCCAGGCATGGTGGCACATGCCTTTATTCCCAGCACTAGGGAGGCAGTGGCAGGCGGATCTCTGTGAGTTCAAGGCCAGCCTGGTCTACATAGTGAGTTCCAGGCCAGCTGGGGCTATAGGGAGACCTTGTCTCAAAAAGACCAACCCCCCCCCCAAAAAACAAAACAAAAAAACAAAACCCCAAACCTGAAGCCCTACAAGGCAAACAGCAACCCAGGGAACATGGAGCACGCCTGTCTGGAAGGCTGCTCTGCTCACTCTAGAGGTCTAAGCCACGCAGAGCTGACAAGTGGGTGCACGCAGCCTGCCAATGGCTTACCGGAGCCAAATGTGCCCATTGGAACAGACGGCCTGCTTGCGATCAGTGAACGGCAAGATCTCCTTACACAGACTGCAATGCTCGGGGAAGGTCTGCTTGTTCATCTTCTTGGAGATGTGTCCAATCAGCACCTGGTGAGACACCACAGGTGGCAGAGTGAGGGCAAGCACAGGTTTCTGGCAGCAAAGCCTAGTCACATGAAACACACAGGACTGTGTAGGGAGAAGAGTTAAGTTACTGTCCAAAAAACACAGCACTGTACCCTCAACCTGCATCAACATCAAAGTAAACAGATTGGTGACCCTGAACTCTAACCTCAAGGAGAAAACGTCTGAAAACCAAGCTCTCCTTTCTTGTCTTGTTTTAGATGCTTTAGAACATAATTCCATGGGAAGCAAGTTATTATTTAGTGTTTCAAGAAGGAAAGCCGTAATGTCCATAGGTGGAAATGGACTATTACAGATTCTGTAGAACTATCCAAATGTTTAGTCTTTAAAAAAAAAAAAAATGATTTCTATGTTTATGTATGTGTGTGCTCCCATGTGTGTGAGTGCCCAAGGAGGCCAGAAGAGGGCATGGGATCCCCTAGAGCTGGAATTATAGGCAGTTGGTCAATGTGGGTGCTGAGAACCAAACTCAAATCCTCTGGGAGAGCATCAAGTACCGTGAACCACCTAACCACGTCTCTAGCCCACAAATGTTTACTCTTTTAATGCCAAAGATTTATAAAGCAAAGACAATTAGTATTAAAAAGCAACTACCCCTTCTGATGGCCCAAAGAGCCACGTCTAACTTAGCTCAGCATCTGCACCTGAGACAGCCGCCAGCTCTGCCCTGCTACCCCCCTGGGAAGACAGGTGCTTTTCTCTGCTTTAGTAACAGTACTTTTTGGGGAGTTGGGGTGGCACTAGGATTGAATTTAGAGCCTTGCACATGCTAGGCAAGCACTCTATGGTGAGCCCTCTTTTTGACTTTGAGAAAGTCTCAATACACTGGCCAGGCAGGCCTTGAACCTGCTGTACCCACCTCAGCCTCCGTGTTGGAGGGTTCTAGGTTCTAGGCTTGTGCCACTGGGCCTGGCTTAAGATTGTATTCTTTTTAAATTTTTTAGTATTTTATTTATTATTTTTATTTTATGTGTATGAGTGTATTGACTGCATGTAAGTGCATCCATGAAGTCAGAAGGAGGCATCAGATCCCCTGGAACTGGAGTTATAGACTGTTGTTAGCCACCATGTGGATCCTGAGATTTGAACTTGGGCCGGTTGTGATGGCGCATGCCAGTAGGATATGCTGAAGAGGCAGAGGCAGGAGGATCACAAGATTTGAACTTGGGTCCTCTGCAAGAGCAGCCACCTCTCTAGTCCCCAAATCAACATCTTAGGTTAAAAAGGTCTTTATCGGATGCAAAGTTGGATTTTTTGTGGTGGTGGTTGTTTGAGACAGTCTCACTATGTCACCCTGACTGGCCTGGAACTCTCTATGTAGACCAGGCTGGACTTGAACTCACAGATCTGCCTGACTCTGCCTCTCTACTGCTAGGATTAAAGGCATGTGTGGCATGCCCCACTGCAGAGACATGAATTTCATTCTTTAATCAGAACTCAGATACTGTAGGAGTCAGGAACAATCTTTCCACTTTTTAAACTGGCTCAGCCAGAACCACGCAATAGGTACATAACACTCAGATGAGAATTCTAAAAAAGAACAAACCTCATTACCATCCTTACATGTTTTTGCTATTATCTCACAGGTTTATAATCATTCTAACTAGTCCTGACAGTGAAAACCAGAGTATGCCCACAGACAATTTGGAACACAAGGAAACCAGGTTTAAAAGTTAAAAGTTGACTTCTGATTATTGTTTTTTTTGAGACAGGCTTCCCATATAGCCCCAGCATAGAGGAGGGCAGCCTTGCATGCACAGAGATCCACCTGCCTGTCTCCCAAGCACTGGGATTAAAGGTGGGTACTACCATGCCTTCATTACACTCAAGATCCCCTGCAGACATCCTGTGAGCAGTAATTTCAGGGGCGTACACTGGACTCTGCAACAACTGGTTTGTGACTGTTTTAAAGTTAGGGATGATATGTAGCCAAGGATGGCCTTGAACTCCTGTCCTCCTATCTCCACATGCCCAGAACTGGGATTACAGGTTTGCCACCACTCCCAGCTTATTTGTATTTTTTACCACAAATATTTGAACCATACGCCATACGCTTCTGTATTTTTTGTGCCACGTTCTTCTGTTTCATTGGGCATTGATAATACATGCCCTTTGTATGAATTATTTTACAAAATAATTTTGAATGTATTGTAACTCTACTTTTTTCCTTGTATTTGTATAATAAATTTTAATTGATACTAAAAAAAATAAAGTTAGGGATGAGAATATCTGATTTTCTCTTTTTTTATTTGTCTTTTTGAGACAGGGTCTCCCTGCAGCCCCAGCTGTCCTGGAACTCACTGCTACCACACCCGGAGATTTTTCTCATTTTTAATGAATACTTTAAATAAGACTATTTAGGAGCTGGGCATGGTGGCGCATGCCTTTAATCCCAGCACTTGGGAGACAGAGGCAGGCGGGTGGATCTCTGTGAGTTCGAGGCCAGCGTGGTCTACGTAGTGAGTTCCAGGACAGCTGGGGCTACAGGGAGACCCTGTCTCAAAAAAAAAGACAAAATAATAATAATAAATAAATAAATAAATAAGACTATTTAGGCAGTAAGCATCAATCTTTAGAGTAAGGAACAGACCTTTGTGATTTTCAATTTGTTAGTCTGGGAGGCAAAGGTAACAGTTTCTTTTCT